TGTTCTGTTACCGGCTTACGCCGAAGAGCTCGTTATATCTTGGGGAAAGGTTTTCGCTAGTCGGAAATACTTTCTTGAGGACAGCGTCTGACGCGTCTCGAGCTAGATTATTTTCTAACGTTATTTTTGCAGGGATATCCGGCCGAATTTCCACCAACACAGTTTCGGTGTCAAGGGCAAACCTTTCGCAAAGGTAATTCCTAAAAGGTTGGCCCTAATTTTTTAGTAATAATCATCACTTTCTAGATTAGTATTTTACTGATCTTTTGACAACCATTAAATGTGAGCTACAGAGTGGCTAACTCATTGGCTTAGCACCATCGAGCCATGAATTTACCAAGGCCATTTGAAGTTTTGCATTGAAGGTGAAGTTTCACCGGAATTTGGAAGAGAAATGTCTAAAGGGTTGTAATACAACATTCTATTATTCTGTGCTACTTAGTATGCTTATGATGAAAGAAATAACCATAGCACCAATATGTAATGAGTGAAATCAGAAAAAAAAAATTATGATAAAGGTACTTAGAGGGTTTCAATTGTTCAAAAGTAGTAAGACCAGAACCACTACTTGGAGTTTTGGTAAATTCAGTTTGGAAAAACGGGCCAACAGTTTGGAAAAATAAACTAAAGCTAAATTCATCTTGAACGGTGACCAGCTAGGGGTTTGTTTGCTAGCCAAAATTTTCGGCTTAGCATTCTTATTAGCCAAAATTTTAACTAAGCATTAAAATTTTAAGATATAAAACTAGAATTATTTTTCTGGTTATAGTGACTAATATTGCTCCAGATGGCTGTTTTTATTTCATTTTTCACTAAACTTTTTATTTATTTAATTAATTAAATGAATTGATAAATATATTTTAAAGTATAATTTATTCATAATTGAGTAGATTTAGTCAATTGAACCACTTTAATCAATGTTTTAGCAAATAAGTCGATTGAGCCAATTGTAATGTCATCATCATACTCATCAAACGGGAATCAAGTTTTTTATGTTCATTCAAATATATGCCTTTATTCGGTAAAGGTTTGGTTAGAAATTAAACGAAACTTGGGTTCAATTTTGATTGTAATTCGTAAAATTGTAAAGGTGTGGCTTTGATTTAATTAAGGTTTTGAGTTGTGCTGATTATTTCGTAAATGTGTGCGACTTTCTGTTTTGTGATTAAGAACATCCATAATGCTAATGCCGTTTGATCCTCTACTCTCTCTTCCACATCATTTTTCTCCAAAAACTTAATCCCCTCCAACCCATCCCATTTTCTCCCCACTATGGTGATCTAGGTCACTTAAAAATTTTACACTCTCTCTCTTCTTATTTTTGATATGTTCCACCATTATTAACTTATTTAATTTGAAAAAGGAATACTACATTTTTTGTAACATAAAAAAGGAATACTACATGTAAAATCCACATTTGACCCACTGTAATTATTTATTGTGAAAAATAAATATAAATATTTAATGTTTTTTACATATCCTTAATTCAAAGGAAAAAATGTTCTAAAAGAGAAAATAAGATGCAAGAAGAAAAGAAATGATAAATTTCGAAGTAACTAAACATATCCTTCATTTCATTAAAGTTCTGGCTGAAGTGGCTGCATGGGGTGATACAGCTGATTTAAGAAAAAGTTATTTTTAAAATATCTTTTATTAATAAAATAAAGAAAAAATTATATGTGAAAATAGCTAAAATGATCATTTATAGTAACTTCAACCAATACAACCATAAAAGTAACTTCAACATTACTTTTTCTTATTATTACACAATTTAGCGCGCGAAAACAAAAGTTACATGTTTGGTGAAAAAGTTGGTTGATAAGCCGAAAAACAATATTACCAAACGGCCTTTATATATTATGATGAATGTATGATTGGTACAACATTTTATAATTTTTATCTTTATGTCATCATAAAAAATTATCAAGCATGAAACTTATTATCAATACGTTTTTATAGCATTCAAAAGAAATCAATGTTTATGAACTTCATCCTGTGCAACGCACGGGCGGAAAAACATACTTGTGGCGGACTTTGTCTGCGGCGCTCAGGTCCAAGGGGCAAATAGTACTCAATGTGGCATCTAGCAATATTGCATCACTGCTTCTACTAGTAGGAAGGACCGCACACTCCGCCATTCCATTGGATGCAACATATTCAACATGCCACATAAAGCATGGAAGCCCATTAGCGAGACTGATCGAACGTACAAGGTTGATCATTTGGGATGAGTCGCCGATGACACACAGGTACATGTTTGATTAATAATTAATGCAAAAATTACATCATATTCAAAATGATTTAATTAGTTGTAAAATGATCTGCAGGTATTGCTTTGAAGCACTTGATCGTAGCATGAGAGATGTCCTTCGCTACTCACGTGATTGTGATTCTACCATGCCCTTTGGTGGGAAGACAGTCGTATTTGGCGGGGACTTAGGCAAATATTGTCTTTCATTCCAAAGGGCACAAGACAAGACATTGTGCAAGCAACTTTGAATTCATCATTTTTGTGGTCATACTGTAGGGTGCTGAAGTTGACAAAGTATATGAGACTCGAGCGCGTGGGAGGAAGATCTTACGCATTAGAGATTCAAAACTTTGCCAAGTGGATATTGAAGATTGGAGATAGAATCTTGGGGGACGGTGATGATGGAGAATCAATGGTTGACATCGCTGAAGAATTTATTGCTCCTATGACGGATGATCTAATTGAAGCTATTGTAAGATCACCTATCCCGATTTTGAAATGCACTGCAATGATGTTTCTTATTTGAATTCCAGGGCAATTCTTGCGCCAACCATTGATGAGCGCGACATGATCAATGATTACATGTTGGGATTGACTCCAGGTGAGGTAAAAACATACTTAAGCTCATATCCAACATCTTCTTCTGACTCAGACAGTGCACTCCTTCAAGAGATCCACTCTCCAGAATTTCTCAATACCATTAAATGCTCTTGTGTGCCAAGTCATGAGCTGAAGCTGAAAGTGGGTGCACCTGTGATGCTAATGAGGAATATAGATCATTCCTCCGGATTGTGTAATGACACCCGCCTCATCGTCACTAAACTTGGAACCCATATTCTAGAGGCCCAGATGATGTCTGGAACAAATGCAGGGAAAAAAATTCTTATTCCGAAGCTTAGCTTGACTCCATCCGACCTAAAGCTACTGTTCACGTTTCAGCGTAGACAGTTCTCTTTGATGCTTAGGATGTTTTTACTTGGACTGTAATTCGTCCCAGACCAGACCAGATCATACCAGACCAGTTCAGACCAGACCAGACCAGACTTGGATAGTTATAAAAATACAAAGATACCAGACATTACCAGACCAGACCAGACCAGACCAGTTCAGACCAGACCAGACCAGCAAATTACAGTCCAAGTAAAAACATCCTTAGTTACGCGATGACCATTAATAAGAGTCAGTGACAGTCTTTAGAGAGGGTTGATGTTTTCTTACGTCGTCCGGTTTTCACCCATGAACAATTTTACGTCGCGGTCTCAAGAGTAATGTTCCCATCTAGATTGAAGTTTGTTATATGTGATGATGCTGGAAAACCGATCAAGAAGACTTTAAATGTGGTTTACAAGGAAGTATGTAATAATTTGTAATTTTTTAAATCTTCATTTACATTTGTTAGAAACAATCAGTGTTCTAAAACGCCTGAAAAGGCGCCGCCTATGCGGGAATAGGCGCAAGGCGTGGTCAATACGCCCCGCGTAGTCAATATACTTGACTAAAGGCGGGCTTGCCCAAAAAATATAAATTTTTTCACTAATTTGGAAGCCCACTCACAGAGATTCCATACGGAGCGGAATCCACTTGCCCACCTATTACCGATTATAGGGGTTGTCTCCAATATATAGCGTGCTTGAAGGACGAATTCTTCCTCTCCTTACGGTGTGGGACGCGTATATGCAAAACGAAAATGAGCAAAGTGTAACTAATAAACCTCCTACGAGAAAAAACTCTACACACAAATACGGAGTAACACAAAGTCGAACGCATTTTTCAACTAAATTACACCCAATACTTTTAGGAGTAAAAATTACATAAAAAAGTGCTTAGTCTATTATATACATAGGCTAAATGTCCAACAATCTGCTTACATTATATATTTAATTAATAATTTATTATTATTATTGTATAAATGCATAATCATAAGTACCACCAGGGTATTATTATAGGAACATAAATTAATATATATTCACTAATGCTATTATTATTATTAAAATCATTGCTTTTAATCATTATTATTAGTACTTTCTAAAAAATGAATACTATTATTTTTTAGGGAAAATGGAAATCAATAATCCAACCTTTTAGCAGTCTTCTTACAATAGGCTCACATTTTCATTATTCAGGAATAATCCAACTTTTAAGCCTCATCTTCATCCCTGATCGGTTGATAATCTGTTATTCCAAGTTATTTTCTTATGTTTGTAAAATTTTATACCATAAATCCTACCTTATGGTCACATGACGTTTTGCAAAGATAAGAAAATTATTTGGAATAACAGGTCATCAACCAGTCAGGGACCATTAAATGAAGATAAGGTGAAAAAGTTGGATTATTCCTGAATAATGAAAATGTGGAACTATTGTAAGAAGACCACTAAAAGGTTGAATTATTAGTTTCCATTTTCCCTATTTTTTTATTATCATTGAACGAGTTTTTCTAGTTTCAATATTTATAAATATATTTGCAAAATATAGGACTTGACAAATCTTTTTTGTTAGAAATTTGAATAGAATGTTGCGTTTAAATAACATTATTTAATATTCAATTTAAATATTTATAAATAGCTCTAGGGAAAGTAAAACAACGGATAAAAACTCAAAACGCCTTTTCACGCCTCAACCCCGCCTATGCCCGCCTATGCTTCAAAGGCTTGAGGCTTGGCCGTGCCGCCTCGGCACGCCTTACGCCTTTTACAACATTGGAAACAATATATAATTGATCTATATTTTTCACAACATTTGAAAATCTAGTTAAGACATAAAGTTAGAATTGAGATAGTATGCCGGTATTAACTTTGTCGAACGCCTTCCCAGGAAAAAAACTTTGTCGAACGAATGATGTACTGTTTCTGAACATAAATGTGTGAAGCTGCTAAATCCGGAAATCGATTCATAATGACGCGAGTTTAACCGCAACTCGAGTTCTCATCTTAGTTGTTCGATTTTGTAACTCTGCATGCTTGCAAGCGGATTTAGATCTAATGGCTAGGCATCCTCCTACTCGACGCAGAACGGCGCCGGATCTAATAAGTCAACTGCCTGAAGATGTAAAACACAGAATATTAGAGTGTCTAGATGCCCGAGAAGCGGCCAAAACTGCTCTTCTCTCGACTCTATGGAATGAGGTTTGGTTGCGACATGGCCGGCTTGTCTTTGATTGGGACTCATTAGCTGAAGGTAGAGGCCTTAAACGCTCGAAAATGATTTATAGTGCTCTGTTACTCCGTTCTGCACCCGTTAAGATATTTACTTTGTACATTGTACACTGGGAACCTTCTCTGCAGCAGTCTGATTTAGATCTGTGGTGTGGTTTTCTATCAAGAAATGGTATTGAGCAACTTAGCCTTGATGTTCATATCACCCAAGGAGATAATCGCACACTACCTGTTTGTATAATTTACTGCCCGACAATCAAACAACTGGTACTTAATGGTGTTGATTTTTGTTTACCGGTCAATCATCGACCAGGTAGCATCTTTTCTGGTGTTACCTCTTTGATGTTCTATCACCTTAATTTTGATCGTGGTGATGATAGCCCTACAGTTATCCATCTTATTCCTTATCTTGAGGTGCTAGTGTTCCTGGATTGTCATTGCATAGATAGTTTCGTGATCAATGCTCCAAGACTTAAAAACCTCACCTTCATCGATTATAAGAACGTCTCTGAATGGAAATGGTTCGAGCTACACTTTTTTGTGATTAAGACTCTTTGCTTTTCTGCCCGGACAGGGATGGAGGTATGTATAAGTCTAGGCCCTTCAATTGTTATTTGGTAGTGTAACTCTAACTTGTACACGCTTAAAGTGTGCATGGTCATGTACATTTTTTTCTGTGTCATAGGAAAATTCTTTTTTCAACTTAAAAAACGAAAAAACTATATATGCACAGGCATAACGGGGCATGTACACAGAGCCACTTTTCCTCTGATTACCTCCCTGTCTCTCAATGGTTAATAAAAAAAATTATCACGGTGACAAATTTTAATTATTTTTTTCACAACTATATACTCCCTCTGTCTACAAAAGAACTTCACACTTTGACTAGCACACACTTTTAGGTAGATTAAGATTAGCATTTGAGTTTCCTTAAATGCCCCTAAATCCACGGCTGAGACAAAAAATTAGGAAATGTGGTAATGAACCGTGTAAGGGGGTAAAGAATTGAAATACATTTGATTTAATAATTAAATCTTTATTCATCACCAATGACATCCAATACTATTACAAAATATGCATTGATTTAATCCCTCCTAAAACACAATGAATACAAATAAAAATTCCCTACAAATTTTTGCCAACATAATTGAACTTCCCTCCCATTCCACTCTATCTATATCTACCTTATTACAAAGCCATTTACCCTCACAACTATCCAGTGGAGTATAACACACTGCCTTTATGTCATGAAACTACAACTCTTCATGGCAGCAACCCCAACAATAAAACTCCAATATCCATGCATTCCCTGACCACATATTTTCTTGTACAACAATTCAAATCTTACTATATGAGGCTGGGTTGCTATTCTGTGTTGCAATGGGCTTGCCGAACACCTGCAGACTGGGGCTGCTCATGGCCAAACACTTGGGCCTTCACTGGTCTGGAGGTTGGGCTGCACAACTAGGATTGGGCTGCATAACTAGGATGTAGGTTTATTTATCTCTTGATGTATGTTGGATGTATTTGAACTTTTGCTGGACTTATTTGGACTGTTTTACACACTAAGCCAGGGGTAGTTTTTGTTGTTTTTGTTTTAATCTCTCTCCTTGCCCCCTTGCCCCCTTTTTGTGAGGTGGGGGTGGAATCGTCGGATACTATTTTAGGTTAGACTAGCTAGCTTAGATAGTTTTCTTTGATTAGTTTTTGACACATTGTATGATGTTATTTTTGGGTGAGTTTTAATATGCTTACATTTCATCCAAAACAAACTGAATAAATAAATAGTATAACTTTTTCGTTTGAAAAAAAAAAACTCATTTTTAACATTAGTTCTATTATCTTTTGTTAGTAGTTATCTATTGTTTCTAATATACTTGTGATATATGAGGATCTTTTTATTTTAGTCTAAATTGTTTTTAGTGAGTGTTTTTTATACTTGGCTTGGATATACTCTTATATGTTATTGTAAATACTTGTAACATTTATTTTTGCATTTTACTTTTTTATGCAACTATAGTTCTATTATAGTTCTATTATAGTTGAAATCCTGGACCCACCCCAGGTATTTATGACATTTAAGTTGATTAAACTTTCCTTTTAAGGAAATGAACAGTTATTATTGGGACATCCATCAACTGAAAGTGGGAAGTGCTTTTTGGGACATGGAGTATTACATAGTATTATTAGATATCTATGGATCAACTTTCCGGAAAAAAAAACTTAATAAAGTATATACCTAATACCGGAGTATAACACAAATACAAGGGGAGGCTTTATCAAAACTTAAAGGTAAGCAATATCTCAACACTTCCGGGGCCCTTCCATTTTATTCTGGCTCTGCCCCTGTGCACAGAAGTTTTGGGTGAGAATAACAACACCTTTTTGTATAGTGTTTTACAGTTTTTGTATCATTCAAGGTTAACCGCTTGTGTCTTTGACTTTATAAAGTATGATAACACTGCTGCTACAAATCCTACAATCGAAGTGCAAGAGAGGCTTCCAATTGCTAAAAATATTGAAGTGATTGAGCTGCAAGATTTTAGTTTTAATGACGTGTATTGCTTCACTCTTGTTATTCATTTGCTTCGGAAATGCCAAAACCTACGCAAACTGGAGATAGATATGATAATGCTTCAGGTTGTAATGTTCTACAACTACCCTACTTTTTGGTGAATAAGGTCCAGATATTTATGTTCTAATATTTTTATAATTCTTGTCTTGTAGTTGAGTTTGAATGGTGGAGCTGATCCAAGTATTTTGAGAGATCCAGACGGTTGGTTTAGTGATCAGGATCTGAGAGAGCTTAGAACAGTTAAGATGAAAGCATTTAGAGGATCAACACAGGAAATGCTCTTTATCAGATTAATCCTATCAAAGTCACCCTCCCTTGAGGAAGTTTTAATTTCGGAATCATGTAGCATTGATACCTCTGTGCCTTTAAAAGTACCAAGGGAGATGATCTCATACCCTCGTGCGTCTCCAAAAGCAAAAGTTGTTTTCTTGGACCCTTGCCGCTATTCCTGAACACTAGGCATTTGTAGCCCTTGATCGGTGGGATCTCCATTGTTTTTGCTTGCATATGTTTTACACAAAAGTATAGTCCTTATGATGTAATATATATTTGGTGGCATCCGATTTTTTTACATTTATTTTTTGACTTATTGTTTTTGAAAGAAGAAAACTCATATTTATGCTTCTGACTTATTCCGTGACTTATTGGTCTTCAATTTTCATAAACACATTTAAGTCACATTGTTATAGAGCCATCCCGAAATAACATTCCTGCTTTACTTTTCAATCTGTCTCAAAATAATTGTCCTGTTTCCTCTTTTGGCAATAATGTGTGGCTCATACCAATTCACTTTTTTTCGACTCAAATCTCAATCACAACTTTTACATTTTTAACCACTTTCATAGAACTTGTGTTAAAGTAAATAAGATATTTATTTTGGGACGGAGGGAGTAGTTGACTTGTTGTGTGGAGCGTATTCTATCAGTAGTGAATAAATTTACTTTGACCTGATCATGAATAGTTTATCTTCACGTGTTTGAGTTCTTGTTATTTATTTAATTTAGTGATTAAATTATATAATAATTCAATGATTATTTTGATCTTTTTATTTATATACGAAGTAAGAGATAAAAGTAGATTTATTTGAAAAAACACTTCTTATTTACCAACTAAGAAGTGTTAACCTCACTTAACTCCCGAGAATCTAAAAAAAGCCTTAAATTGAAGAACCTCCGAAACGGGGTTTTTGGACGTCAAGTTTTTGGTTAACATAAAATGAGCTAGATTACCTTCATCCAAACAACATTTATTTCATTAATCTAGGTTCACCTTATTTGTTTCCAAACACTATTTTACGCATGAACTTAGGTTCAATTAGGTTAACCTTGTTTTTATTAAAACTTGGGTTTATTTTATTGCACTAGGTTTACTTAACTTCACTCTATCCAAACACAACATTAGAGTCCGTTTACTTACTTTATTGCCAATGTATTTGTCAAACACGTAATTTTTTATTTCACACATTGAGTTATGCAATAACCAAAATAAGTAAGGTTGAATTTATATTTTCAATTCAAATTACTATAGAGAAAAAGCTAGCCACTTTTTCATATGATGTTCCTTGATTTTATTAATAAAATCAGCATTGTACCCGTGTAATGTACATGGCAATGGGCTCTTGATCAAAACCGTTGTGCGGAATTTGCCGTTTGGGATGGTTTCTGATGGAATTTTTTAATGAAATGTTTTGAGCATGTTCTTCATCAAGTCTAATTTATGCTAAGTAATTTTTAATTTAAAATTCAATCGGGAAACAAATTAAATCAATTATTGAAACATATTGTGCTTTATAACAAAAATGGCCTATATTTGATTTTGATTTTGATGATGATTATATTTGAGTATTTGATAGTATGATGATGTCCATGATGCTTAATACTCCGATGATGATGTATTGATGTTTAATACTCTGTTATTGTGAATAAGTCGTGGTGAAACGTGAAACCTAACTTTCTGAGTATTGTAAATATGTCAAAGATTTATGGTTTATGTCTAAATATGTAAAGAAGAATGATGATGAAGCCTCAAGCGTAGCCTTGTTCTAATTTTAAAAGGTCAATTTGCATATGTGAATTGTGAACATTGAGTATTGTAAATGTGTGAAAGCTTTACGATTTATGTATAAATATGCATATAAGAATGATGATGGAGCCTCGAGCTTAGCCTTGTTCGTAATTCTGTGTACTAAATTGTGCGTGTTTAAAATGTGAACTCTGAATTTTGTAAAGATGTCAAAGCTTTATGACTTATGTTTAAATGTGCAACATAAGAATGATGATTGAATCTGAGGCTTAATCTTGTTCTGTATTCTGAAATCATCAATTGTGAGATTCTTAATCATCACGTGTGCCTAATAACTAAGCTACCTTTGTGACTCTAACACTCAAAGGAGTAGTAAGAGTCAATTGGTTCTTCCAAGTCTATTAGAAAAAGTTAAGCCTTTTTATTTAACTTCTTCAGTAAATCAGTTTGCTGATTGTGACAGACTTCATCTATACAGACTAAAAGAATAATAAATGTACCCCTCGTGATTAGCCTGGCTCTCAATTCTAAAAGGTGAAATGTGAAAGGTTAACCGTTGTAGCCAAATATGTTAGAAAATTGATATTAAAATTGTAAGTTTAACCAGATAAAAATCAAGAGTTTAAACAAATCACTAGACAAACGGTCAAATGTAAGAACAAAAAATAATACTTAGGATGCACAATAAGTTTCAATGGGCGATCATCCAATGTGTAGGATTATAGGCCAAAGCTATCGAATTTAACTATTTTGGAAGTTGCAACTTATGCAATTATGGTCACTTCGTATTTTTTTGTTAACTAGTTTCTCATTTTGTGATGGGTTTGTAATTTGTAACTTAACTTATGCACAACTTACTAATTTGTCATTTTGTTCTGTTTGTAACTTAATACATAGTATGTTATAAGTACTTGTCAAATTTTCATCATATGGTTGTAGCTTTGTTCTGTTTCTAATTTGAACTGTTTAGTTTTTAATTGTGCAATTTGATATGGTTTCACTATATTCGATATTCCGATTTAACCGATATCTGGTCTGTTATCCGAAATAATGGACATTCTAATATCCGAAATATATGAGATTGGTATTCATATGGTCGGTTCAATATTTACTTACTAATATTTGACCGGGTCTGGGGTACACCGTGCACATAGTCATGGACCCGGTTCGGGCCGCCCGGCCCGGGACCGGCCCGACCCGTTATTGTGCGGACCCGAAACCGGCCCGGTTCTCGAGTCCGGGTCCGGTTCGGGCACCAAACCGGTGGGGGTGGAGGGTCCGGGCTCGGGTGTTGTTTTTGGCGGCCCGGGCCTAACGGTCCAATTTTTTTTTTTTTTTAAAAATCCTTTTAATTTAAAAAACCCTTTTGGGCTCTTGACCCACTTCCCAAACGACTATATAGCTGTTGGGTGGGTACCAAGGGGGGTCCGGGGCCTTTGGGGGGTAGGGGTTAAAAAAAACCTATAAATACTCCTAATTTTAAACATTTTTTCACACCTCTTCTCCAACTCTCCCTAAATCCTACTCTCTACTCATCTCCATATTCATCTTCTCAAATTCTCTTATTCTCCATTATATTTTATTTTACTATTTAATACTTATACAATTATTATATCTACTTATATATTAATTATCTACTTATAAATACATATACTATATTACTTATATTTCTTATCTACTAAATCTCTACTTATATCTCTTAATACATACATACATACTACATCTACTTAATATATACTTTATATATTAAAGTATTAAATATACTTTATAAACTATTACTATATACTTAATACATAATAATATCTACTTCTCTACTTATATTTCATATATACTTATTTTCTTATTCTCCAATCTCCAATTCTCCATTATACTCTAATATTTAATTCTTATACAATTATTATATCCACTTAATACATACATTCTACATCTACTTAATATATAGTTTATATATTAAAGTATAAAATATAAGTGTATTACTCATCTTATAGTAGCTAGTATACTTATATATGGGAAAACTGTCAAATAGGTCCATGTACTATTGACGAAAAGTCAATTGAGTCCTCGTACTTATTTGTGAATCAATTAAGTCCACAAAGTATTAAAAAAGACTCAATTAGGCCATTTAGGGTTGGTTTGCAACTGCTTTTAAAAAAGCACTTCTCAGCTTTTGGCTTTAAAAAAGAACTTATTTTCCCAAACACTACAACTTTTATTTTTCTCGGCTTCCGCGTCAAAAGTGCTTTTACTTTTTCTATTACACAAAAAGCACTTATTTTACTAAACACTACCCACTTTTACTTTTCAAAATCATTTTTTTCTCAAACACTATCAACTTTTATTTAATCACTTTTCTCCATTTCATTTAAAAAAACACTTTTTTAAAAGCAGAAGCTGTTGCAAACAGACCCTTAGCCGGTTGGATATAAATGTTGCCGGTAATAGGTGACGTGGACACCCATGTGGCAATGATTCTGATTTTTCGTTCATTACTTTTTTCTTTTTCTTTTACTTTTTCTCTTTCTTTATTCTTTCCCTGACTTCTTCTTCCCATCCTTAAAGTTGCAGCGACCAGTCTCTTTATTTCTTTTCTTCTTCTTCCCGTGCCCTTTCTTTCCCCTCCCCCAATTTCTTTCTTTTCCACGTTCTTTTCTTTCTTTTTTCCAGTCTTCCCGATTATCTTTCTTTGGATGGGCGGCGGCGGCGGATGGAGATATTGTGGCCAACAGTCGGCGGTTGAGGAAGACATGAGAGACCAGCGGCGTACGACGGCAGTTAGGTAAGTTTTGGTTGTGGACGATGAGCGGAAGATAGAAGAAATCACAGGCGAAGAGCGACACACAACGTTGGTTCGCGAAATCCGGATCTACCGGCTAATCGGCAGTTAGAAAATTTGAAGTTTTGTGGACGACGGATGGCCCAGGGCCATAGATGAGGGCGTGCAAGAAGTGCTACCGCACAAGACCTCTCGATTTCAGAAGGCCCAAAATTTTAAATAGTCTATATATACTTCGTATAATATAATAAATCGTTATTTACTTGATTAAAAAATTCATATCTTAGTACTTCTTTAAATACAATCATTAAATAGTAATATTTATATGTAATTAAAATGCAATTGTTAATTACAATTGTGTAATTCTTTATTTCACAAGGCCTAGTTACAGTAATTAGCCCAAAGCCCTCGTACAGTTTGGAACGAGCTTGTAACTACTTTCATTTTCATACTTTGTCATTACTTTACTTTTCTTAATATATTCTCTTTTCTACTTTTCCATTTACCTTACACCTCTATACTACACCTACTATTTTCTTCTTTAAACCCACAAAAAATCTAAGGAGACTATTATTTAAAACCGGTGGACGTATTAATATAGTGTTTTATACTTGAGGCTTCATATTCAATTTTGCACGGGGCCTTCTACATGTCAGGGCCGGCCCTGGGATGGCCGCCAGCGGCGGGTGAGGAAGACTTGAGCAGCGATGGTTGATGTTCTTTTGTAGAAAGAATTAGAATAAGAAAAGAAAGAGAGAATGAAAGAAACAACAAAATAAAGAAAGGGGGAAAAACGCAGAAATAAGTGCGGGTAAAGAACAGGGAAGAAGACGCGTGAGGGGAGAATAAAGAGCGAGAAGAGGAAGAAAGAAAATAAAATGAAAAAGAGGGAAAAAATCCATGTGTACTGCCACTGTACACAACCGGTTAAATGGCATAATTGAATGTTTTTTAACACTTCAAGGACTTAATTGATTTCCAAATAAGTACGAGGACTTAATTGATTTTTTGACAATAATACGAGGATTTATTTGACAGTAATATATTAGTTACTATAACTAGTATTATACTAGTTAATTAGTTCATTAGCATTCTTGTTACATTTTTCATTATACTAGTTAATTAGTTAATTAGTATTCTTGTTACATTTTTCATTATACTAGTTAATTAGTTCATTAGCATTCTTGTTACATTTTTCATTATACTAGTTAATTAGTTAATTAGTATTCTTGTTACATTTTTAATTATACTAGTTAATTAGTTCATTAGCATTCTTGTTACATTTTTCATTATACTAGTTAATTAGTTATTTAGCATTCTTGTTACATTTTTCATTATACTAGTTAATTAGTTCATTAGTATTCTTGTTACATTTTTCATTATACTAGTCAATTAGTTCATTAGTATTCCCATTAATTGTTAAAACAACTCTACTTCAAAAAACTAGTTAATTGTCATTATAGTTAAAGTCACATTATAATATTTTCAATTTATATTTGAACGAAAAAATAGTAGTTCAATCATTTAATTAAAGTACTTAACATTTTATTTAAGTAGTTTTTACTAAATTAAAGTACTTGAAAAGTTGCTATAATTTTAATTTTAGAGTCACACATTAATTCTACTTTGCACTAAATTAGTTTGAAGTATTAATTAAAATAGTTTTAATTAGTTGCATTAGTGGTGCAAGAAAGAGTGTAGCTTGGGGCGTTCACACGGATACGGGATGCCAATAAAACATATGAAGTCCTGTGACAAAGGCAAAACAACAACCAACAGTGGCGGAAATCCCAATTGATATTTATTAGAAAATGTATTTCGTATTGTTCTTTTTTTCTAAATTCTCAAATGTAGTTCCTATTTCAAATAAATGCACTTGAACTTTATTTTTAATAGGAATTTGTATAATATATAATTATTTAAAAAAAAAAATTGAACCGGCCCGGCCCAGCGGGTGGCCCGAACCGTGACCCAGCCGGGTGTCCCGGCCCGAACCGGAACCGGCCATAGCCCGGGCCGGTCCCGGGCCAACCTATACAAGACCCGAGGCCGGCCCGGGTCCATCACTACGTATACACCCTATGGTGCACTGATACTTCATCTCGATGTCGTATCTGCATATCCGATACGTATCTGATACCAATATTCACCGATACACGCCATGTCATATTGGGTCTGTATATGTAATTTAATAAAAGTATTGGACTTATTTTTAAAAATATGGATACTTCTAATACTCGTATCCGTGAACCGATACACGTATCTAACCCCATAACCCTGAATTCATACATGACATGCATAATTTTTGTAGCCGCCCAAGCGATCACAAGATGTGGAACATTAGTAAAGATGATTTCGGGAGTATAGAAAACATTGGGATGCTTAATTTGCCAATTTATCGCTTGATGGGCATTAATTGAAATTAGTCTTGTTAAAGGACTTAGATGTAAATGCAAATAGAGAATAAAAAATATTATTTGAATTTGAATCGAAATATTAGTACTTTAGCTTTTTTAGTCTAATCTTTGAAATTTTATTATAATTGTTATTTTTTAGTACTACTATTGATTTATTTCTGAACCTCTGAATTATATATATTTGCAAATTATACCGTATATTAATATTATTTATAAATATACCCCCGTACACGCATCCTATAACTTTTGAAGTTGTCGTATTGTCATACCCGTATCGGCGTATCGGTGTATCCGTGCAACATAGCACACACCCGACCCACCCGAACCCGATTGTGCTTTCCCTTACTTGAGTCCAGCCGGCGAGTAGTCCAGAAAGCTATGTTGCGGCCATCCGAAATGCATCCCTCATTCCAATCTCCACCATAGGTAGGGCCCCCACGGTCTGACGCTAAATCACCGATTTGTTAAAGGAAATTTGCGATCGAAATCCCGTCTTTATCTCCTATTATACTTCGTTTAAAGCACATGCACCCACAATTTATCTGGTTCATTCACTGAGGAATAGAAAATCCAATTTTACCATATACGCGTGATTAAATTGTTTGACTAACCAGATTACCAAAGCCTCAAACCACCTTGTTGTTTCGGCCAACAAATAGCAACCCAAGAGAGGAGGTGAATGTTCTTCTCTTCCACAATGGTACCCCAAAAAAAATTCCGGATTCTTTTATCAATTTCAATGAAAATATGACTAGAGAGCACTTGATATTGATGTAATTTCCGATTGTATGTTCGTATTTTTAACTAGTTTTTATTAGTTCTAGTTGTGGAAATTACACACTTTTGGTGTAATACTTTATTTTCATTTTTATTTGTAATTTGGTTAGATTAGGATTTTTCTACTTTTAGAACCAATTCCTTTCCTTCACTTTTAGAACCAATTCCTATATACTCTTAAGCTCAGTTTAGAATAGAATTTCTCTATATTTCTTTTAGCATGTTTAGTCTCCAAATGAGGAGATAAACTTCCATTTCTTGGTGTTGCTCTTGAAGCTTGTTGATTATTAAAGTTGTGAGTTATTTTCTTAACTTCTTTCCTTGAATATTAATGCTTCTCTTAAATACTATTTCTATATCAATGTTGGGGAGTGTTGCTAAGATGACAATTAGTTAACATCTTGACATTGGTCTTAGTAATAGCTATTCCTTCCTCTATGTTAATATTGGGGAGTATTACTAAGATGACAATTAGTTAACATCTCGATATTAACTATAGTAGGATTCATCTTCTTTAATATTCTTTCTTGAATATTAATTAATTCCTATTCATATTTCATATTAATATTTTGAACATTACTTAAAGGATCAACTAGTTTTGTTTCATATATTAATTATTACTAGAATCGGTCGATTAATACGCTTGTTATTAATTCGGTCCTTTCACGGTAGTAAACTTGGGTTATTAATGCATGTGTTTCATGGTTAATAAACCAAGGGGAATTAATTATATTGATTAAACCAATAAACCGCTTGTGTTGAGGTTATCAATCTCAATCGTTTTCATCTTGATTTTATTGCTACTATCGAGTGAATATATGGCGCGTGTTCTATATAAACTCGGTAGTAAGTTTTATTAATGAACGTGTCTCGTTATTAATAACTACCCTCGATGAATTGGATATACTCCTCGATTGAGTATTCGAGAGGAAGATAGTTAAAGATATAACCGGGATCGACGAACATTGCATTAAGTGGATAAAAGCAAAACCAAGTCTCCTTCTCATTAATTAAACCACATAACTCGTTCATCTTCGTATTTAATTAAATTAAATCACTCAAACCTAAACCCCCCTTTTGTTACTAGTTAATTAAAAAGAGAAATATTCCTTTCCCTGTGGATACGAACCTTACTTCATTATACTACGTATAATTGTTGTATTGTATTATTATTTTGAGTGCACACCGCGACAAAGTGCACGTCAGCACTCAATTTACATAACATAATTAAGTAGGAATTGCATATAACATAAATTGGGCTGAAGTAACCCGTCCAGCAAGAGTGAGCATCGAAACTTTCCAACTAGCAAGCTTCTGATCCATACGATTTAGGATGGTCTGGTACGTACCATTTGTCACCCTTTCATGTAGTACACGAACCCCCAAATATCTACCAGAGTTGTGTGTAGGCAGCATGCACCACATCAAGCCTGAAGACAATTTGGAGGAAAAACCCACAAACTTTTTTAGGCAGCGAGCATTGTTATAAAACCCATGAGGTGCTAGTCGGGTGGTTAAGGGGTGCCTAGCGCCTAGATGACCGATTTGGCCAATTTTTTGGCTGACTAGGCCAATTTTTGGCCGACTATGCAGACGAGTCCTATATAGTTTAGGCCGACTAGGCCGATTAATCGGTCCAATTAGACCGATTTTTAGAACAATGGCAACATATAATGGCACTGAACTATGCATGTATCTTCTTATTGTCAAACAAGAAAAGGTCAATTGCATAGAAAAATGAGAAATTGGCATTCGTCCCTGGCTAGCAAAATCGGTCACAACTCGCCATTCGTCATTGCAGTATTATTGAGGTGATTAAGCCATTCGACGCAAAGGGTGAATAAAAATGGGGACCACATGCACCCATGTTTGAGACCTTTAGTCGATTGAAATTCCTCCGTAAGTTCACCATTTCATAGGACCTGAAACCGAATAGTAGAAACACAAGCCATGATAAGTGATGTAATCTCTGTCGGAATGCATGTGAAGGATAAAGTTTCAGCCAGTAAGTCCAAGAGGATGCTATCATAGGCCTTAGCGAGATCAATCCTGAGATCCAAGGGTTGAGTCCTTCCTCGGTCATTTTCCATGTGTTACCAAGGGATAAAGCTAGACTAAGTGGGGTGGACTCAACCCCACATGTGATGCTTTGAACGGGATGTGAGAAGCTTAGTATTTAGTAATAACCTTATTAACAATATTGCA